GAAGGGAGAACCCTATATTTTAATTATGTGGGTTTGTGTGGGTAATTTGCTAGATCTTGTTTTGCCCTCATTGGTGCTGAAATGATGTACTCAATAAAGTTTTGCATTCAGAGATTGGAACATCTCAACTGTGCTTGCTTTGGTTGGGTTCATCAGTTGGAAAGCTGACACTAAGTATGCTCAGATAATAGGCTGTTCTACTGCATATTGGATTTAAGTCTAAACATTTATGCTATTGATAGAAATGCTGCTTCAATCATAAGCTCATGATTATATAATGTAATATAATGTAAGAAGGTCAGATTTGCTTGACTGTGAGATGGGCGGCATATACATTTAATAAATAGTAATACACATTTCTAATTATGCATACAGATTACTTGCAAAAAATATACATGAAGTTAATGCAGGTACAATGTGCCTAATTTTTCCAATGTTTTATGGAATTCCTATCAACTGCTTAAACGATAATAGGTTTTAATTTATTTAATTTAATAGAAAGAATGGAGTAGGAAGAGGTTGGGAAGGAATTAATGAGCTCATCATTATATAAAATAAAGATGCGAAGCTTGCAGTTCCCCATATAGAGTGAACTACCACCTCTAGCAGATCCCATGGACCATGGTGACTAATGGTGGGAGTTGTCCAATAACATCTGAAGTGAAACTCAATTCCTAGTTATGGTCTGAAAGGCTTATGAAATGTTGTGACCATTTTAGTTGTTTCTCCTGGACCATATCTTTTGCCCATGAATGGAAGCCATGGCAAGGGCAATTGTATTCTAATTAACATCTCACACAATGGATGGAATCCAGAGGTCTTTTGTGTTTTTTTTCAAGCACATCAACTTGTCTACAATAGTGGATTTCTCTCTCTTGATTAATGGAAGGGGTGGCCTTCTGTGCAAAAAGATGGCAGTGTTACAAACATGCCCGGTTTATCCATGTTTTGTCCTGCCTTTTCTGGTATGGACAAAAGAATCTTATTTGGAGCATATTAATATTTATGTTGGAGCTTAGTTATGGTCTATTGCTTATTTTATTTCAGGTACCTGTTGAAAGCTTTCCACAAGTGGCCAAAATAAAGCAAAAAACTCGTGGACCATTAAAATGTAATATTTTGCCATGTGTATAATTTTTATATGTTCACCTTAGCATTACCAGATTTTGTCACTAGTCAATACTTTAATATTAAGACTATATTACCATATCTAGGACAACACGATCTGGACTGTAAAAATCCAAATGACCACTAAGTGCCAACAAAGAAATACTGTAGCCAAACTCTGTTTTTGTTTTTTTTTTCCCAGTCTAGATCTAGAAACCTGAATACTTAATGGAGGAAAGCAGCAGTGAAATGCTCCCAGTTTGGACCGGATCACCTGATCCGGTAGTGATGGAGTTGGGTGGTTCGGAGAACCGGTAGCAAAAATCCCTGCCCGCCACCCTATTGCCCAGCAGAGCCACGCAATTATCAGAGGTTTTTTAAAAAATTTTAAAAGCATTTTTTCTACAACCTCTTTGGCCGAAAAAATGCTTTTAAAAGTAAAAAAAAAAAGCCTCTGATGATCGCGCGGCTCAGCTGGGATCATCAGAGGCTTTTAAAAGCATTTTTTCTACAACCTCTTTGGCCAAAGAGGTTATAGAAAAAATGTTTTTAAAAGGGAAAAAAGCCTCTGGGTTCGGCAGAGGCTTTAAAAGCATTTTTTAAAAACCTCAGCCGAAGAGGTTGTAGAAAAAATGCTTTTAAAAGTAAAAAAAAAAAAAAAAAGATTGGGCATGCCCACTCAGTCATATTACCCTCCCCCCACCAAGCCATGCCCACAGAACCGGTAGTAACAAATTTTACATTTCACCACTGGAAGAAAACATCTTGCCCTATTCCAGAAAGCTGCCAGTTAGCATCATGTGAATGTATTGATTCATTCGGGCACAATCAGCTTGGGTCTATTTCAAAAATATGATGGCAAAATTAATAATCTACACACAACCATTAATGTACTTTTAGCTGCATATTTGGTATGATTAATCTATTTCGAAGAGACCATAAAATGAAGAATTTAAGGGGAAACTATTGACTCCCCCCCTTTTAAATTGCCAAAGTTGCCCCCATCAATATGAAGCTTCCTTTGCAACAATACTTCTTTCTTCCAGTTACAGCAGCTCTCTCCCACCTTCTGTTTAAACAAATGTATTAAACTGTAAACTGTAAACTGCAAGCTGTAAACAAATAGTCGGGGTCATGAAAACCAGGAAACGGTTTTGGTTGATTTATTATAAGGTATCACTTGTTTATATACCATTCACCTTTTTAAAGTCACTCAATTTGTTGATACTCTGTACAGTGTTCAGAATTATTATTCTTTAAAAAAAAAACAAGGTTATAAAACAAGAAGCACAAACTAGAAAGACAAGCAGTGATCTTCTACATGTAGAAGATTTCACAACAGTAAAATCCCTGATCTAGGGAGCCTACATCCCACTTGGAGCTGGACCTTTTGAGGCTCGTTCAGAAGAAAACTGCTCAGTTCTCTGGAGGGAGAAGATGCTGTTCCAGGGGGCAGGTGTTGAAACAGGTCCACCTCTTAGATCACATCAGATCATCTTACTTAATGGATGGGACTTGGAGCAGGCCAACTTTTTTATCTACTGAACTGATGGAGAATTGGAAAATCGATACCTCCCTAGTTTCTAGCAATTCTAATTATAGAGCAGTTTCATTTGATTTAAATATTTAAAATGTGGTAAAGGTTGGGTTTGCAAAGGCATGATATTCTTTTGACATGTCAAAACTGCTGTCTTCTTTAATTTTGTTGTGTCATTTGTTCATAGTATGTCTAACACCACCCCCTCCCACACACATTAAACAAATCTCATACATTAAACAAATGACCCCAGGAACAATCTCTGAATTTCTATTTCTTAGACTGTACGTGAAACTATCTTAATTTGCATTTGCAAATTAATTTGCATTCCTGGAGCCTCACAAAAGGAAAAATGTCTACAATGATGAGTAGGCAATCTAATTCCAAATGTTTAGCTTAACGTTGGCCAAGATGAACAAGAAAATAGTTTATTTGTCAAGACTTTTTGTTGGGTTTGTTTATTTATTTATTTATTTTCATTACATTGCATAAAATGCTTGTTCTATTATAAGGAATCAGTTTGTTTGCAGTAATCGGGCCCAATCTAGTGACAACAATCTGTAACAAAGTGGAATTGTTAAATATAAAAAATGCTTTGGATGTAACTTCATACAAAGTAATAGGTTTACTTCCAGGAATTATTAGAATACATTAATTACATTTTACCATAATGCTAGAGGCGGTGTTTCTTTAATCTCAACTCTTCACAGTAATTATAAGAGAGAAAAATTGCAGCAAAGAATAAACTGTTGAGTCAAATATTTTTAACAAAGAGATCAGATTTGCATATCGCAATGAACTAGTTTTTGTTAGCCTTCCAAGGTAGTCCAGATAAGCACCATAACCAGAATTATTAGCTCTTATCTTTTTCATAGTTATATTAATAAAATTTTGCAAGTCTGAAACTACCTCTCCCAACCCTCACTTTTACATTCCCAAAAACTAGGGGAGACACTTTCACCACCCCTCCTTCTTCAGTCAGATTTCATTAGACTGTTGTTTTCCTCCTGTCTTCCAAGGTTGTTCCCATACCATTAATTTCTTTAACCACATCTTAAATCACAATTAAAGCCATGGAACCCAAGCTTCCTTTTGCTCAAGGGGCTCAGTGTAGGGTGCCTAGTCCTTATTTGATAATGCTACAGCTTTAAAGGGCTCCTTTATCCCCTCCTCCTTTCTTCTTAAAAAATTGTAAAAAAGGGTTTGTGTGAACCTTCTGGCTTCACCTAATCCAGATGGGCTCTTGGCTAAACTACAAATCAAGCAAAACACATTATATCTTACTTTGTCCTAGACCAGTGTTTCTTTCACACCAGAGCAGAGATGGCCTTGAATGAAATATCCAGCAGCTCTTAAAGAAACAAGCATTTCTCAAACCTTAGAAAGGAGATAGGACAGGTAGTGGCTGTAACTTTGGGACGACATCATAGCTTTTAGGGTCTGCCTTAACTTTGAATGGATGCTAAGTGATTAGTCATAAGTTGAGAACTACTTATGGTATCAGGAAGAGGCTCAGGCTGACTCTCTCCTGACTCAATGGGAGCATAGAGAGCAAAGATAACACACAATCAGACTTTCTAGATTCTGTATCTCAGTACAGTTCAGCTTTTCTGTAGAGGCCGCTTCTTTATCTGGTCTACCCTGTAGAGTTGACACTCAGTGTGACTTTTGAGATTCAGACATATGGCTGGTTGTACCCAAATGCACCCATACTAGTATCACTATCCCTCAAAGGCGTGCATTGGAAAGAAAATGCTCTCACACAGGTTTCTTAGTGTGGAATAGCCCAGTTTTTATAATGAAAGAAGATATTAGGAATATCTACATGGAAAAAATATGGCAGAATTATCAGAATGCAGAAAATTTATTACAACCTTCCAGTCATGTGATTGAAGTATCTTAAAATATGTACCATGAGGGGAGTGAAGAAAATCTCTATTCTGGCAATGTTACACTAGTACTTCCACCAAATCATGTTTCACCATTTATAGGGTGTAACGTCTTCCATTCAGTTCCATGTATTGTATGTTGTTTAAAACAAACACTTCCTTGGAATGTCAGACAGAATAATTATATGTGACTTTTACCTGACATTAATAAAGTGAGTAATACCTCAAGTTGAGACTTGAATCGTTTGGAGTTTTTTGTTGGCAAAATCTTCATTTTACTCCGGATGTACAAAGTTTGTTAGAATTACAACCTGGGAGAAGAAATAGTTCTTGGCTTCTACTGCAGACAAATGGCTGTGTTGGGGCACTGGAAGATCTAAGACTCCGCCTTCAAATGCTAAACTTAAGCTCTCATTAAAAATATCTAGTATGGGGATACATGAAAATGATGCATACTATAAAGAAAACACGAGGGGAAGAATTTTATTGCTGTCTCTTATAAGAAGCAGAGCATGGGAAATCGAGTTATGAGCTGTTTAGGACGATCAAATAAAAAATACTTTCTTATACATAGCACAGTTTAACCGCAGATTTCAATTCCACAAGCTGCTGCAAAGTTACTCACTACTCTGTCATCATTAGGCATGTAGTATTAAAAACCTTTGGGTTTTTAATCTTTTTTTTTTTTATGTACAACAGTAGAAACTGGCTGTATTTTTCTACAGTTCCTATATACTTCTGATTCCTGATTCGTAAACATTCATACATTTTCATTATTTCTCTTTCCATAGTTATATAGTAGGGAAAAATTTGAAGAATACATGTATATCACACAAGAAGTGTTAAAGGCTTGTACATGTTCTGCTGGTTGTTTTGCCACATTTGGTTTATTTTTTAAAATCCAAACTGCTACATTGAGGCTTCAGATTTAGCAACATTTCTTTTAAAATAAGTAAAAATAACTTGACCTCTTCACATATTGGACCAGCTACCTCACATATCAAAAAGTGGAAGGGAAGTCTGGTCTGAGGCTTTGTCAATTCCTGTATCATGTCAATAGAATCGTATAAAAAAAACAACACATTGGAGCTAAAATAATTTTTTAAAAAGGGCACTTTGATTCAAAAGCATATGGATTTTAATTCAGAATAAATTTGCATCTCAGATTGCTAATCTACATGGTCATGACTTTTCCCCAGAGTGTGAAATCTGAAATTAAGTACACATAATGCAAAACGTTACTGACTGGAAGTGATAGAAGCTTCCAGCAACAAGAACATATTAATTTACACCCAAGTTATTTAAGAGGAAGTATTTTTATTAATCCTACTAGGACTGGGACCAAGATCTACTTAAATCCAAACCTGTGAATTTAGCTATGACTACAAATGTAGTTTTATAGATGTCAGTTAAGTTTTCTAGCACTAATTTCAGCAAGATTAAGATTGCATCATTTTTGTACGGCAGAACAGGAAAGTATGAATCAGATTCTGATTTAAAAAAAAATACAGTAGGTTATTCACTGCATTCCAGACAACAATGGTCAGAATAAACATTCAGCTCTGGAATGCAGATAATATACAAGAATCAATATGTTACATTTACAAAGCTGTTCGATAAACAGTACATTTTTCCAGATTACCGTAAGTATGTAAAAAGGTATAAGTTGGTTTCACAATGACTTTTAGTATGATACTAAAATACACCGGTATTAAATCAAAAATATATATTATTTACATGTACATAGTATAAACCTTAAATAGAAGAATGTACCTACTGTAGGAAGTTTTAAGAGAAAGCTGAGATTGGCCATTGTATAATGTAATAAAACCATCTGATCTTCACATTATGAAACTGCAGTAGTGTGACTAGTGTTCCTTTAGATATTTTACAGATTACATATCAAATTAAAACTTTTCATTAAGAAGCGGCTTTAATTCCACTGTACTTTAGTTTATTTAAGCCCACTCCAAGCAGCTCGGGACATTCAACTTGCTCTTGTGCAATCTGGTTGCATTTCCACATCAGGCTGTAATTCATCTCTTCTGAGATCACACTATCATGCTTGTATTCTGGATGGTTTGCAACAAATTCTCGCATCCATCTAGCAGCTGTCATTAATTCGCCTAGTGGACAAATCATATGATATGCATTAAAATTCACTTCATTATCTCCCCATATGAATTATATAACTTTCCATTTACTTTCTCTTAAGTATTAGCCTTCATTAAAATGTCACCTTAAATTTCCGTATTACATACAAGGAGTATTCAATGGTGCTAAGAATAAAACATTAGGTTACTATACTATATTATAAACTCAATGAGTTGAATACTTTTTCACCACAGATCTGTCAATGAAAGAAACAACAATAACAAGAATTTCTGAGTATTATCTATACTTTTGTCAAGGATATTATTTTTGTAAATAAAATAATGGACAAAATAAATAAAATAAAGGACAAAATAATAAAATAATGGACAAAATGTTAATAAAGACAACAAAGTTATCATTAGGCTTTTAGGGAAAAATCAAGTATTTATTTGTAAATAGGAGCCGATACACAAGAGATGGAATAAATTAAACCAGAAATATGTAAACTCCAGACTTGGGGCTTTAGATATTCTATCTCTAGAACACCATTTTTTCCCTACTCGACAACCTATATAGAGATAATCCTTGACTTAAGACCATAATTGACTTAAGACCAAACAGCCTTGGTGGCGCAGCAGACTAAAACTGCTGTTAAAGTAGCATTTAGCTGCCAGCTGCCTGCAATTACTGCGAGTTCAATTCTCACCAGGCTCAAGGTTGACTCAGCCTTCCATCCTTCCGAGATAGGTAAAATGAGGACCCGGTTTGTGGGGGCAATAAGCTGACTCTGTATAAAATAGAAGGGGGCCAAAAAGCCCTACTAAGCAGGTATATACAAAAGTATGAAGGCTATTGCTTAAAGCATTGTAAGCTGCCCTGAGTCTCCGGAGAAGGGCGGCATATAAATCGAACTAATAAATGAATGAATGTATGAATGAATGAATGAATAATTGAGACCAAAATTTCTGTTGCTAAGCGAAACAGTTGTTAAGAGAATTTTGCCCCATTTTATGACCTTTCTTGCCACTAGTTGTTAAGTGACACTGCTTGTTAAATTACTAACACAGTTGTTAAATGAATCTGGCTTCCTGCTGATTTTGCTTGTCAGAAGTTCGTAAAAAGTGATCACACGATCCTGGGACACTGCAGCAGTCATAATATGAACCAGTTACCAAGTGTCTGAATTTTGATCACGTGACCATGGGGATGCTGCAATGATCATAAAATGGTCATAGACCACTTTTTTCAGTGTTGTTATAACTTTGCACCTTCACTAAACGAAAAGGCTGTAATCGAGAACTGCCTATAACATCAAATGTCTATTCATACCTGATGCTCTTTTTTTTATTAGTTTCAGATAGTTTAGAATGCTGCATCTTGTATCCACATCCACTTCCATATTTTCAAGGTAAGAGTTTAAAATTGGAATTAATCCTGGAAATACTCCTTCCTACAAAAATTAAACCAATGTTGAAATAAAAATGCTAAAATATTTATTTTTTCACTTCAATATTATAACAAACCCTTGTCTTTTGATATGGCACAAGAGTGCCCTCTAAAGGATATGAAAACTAACACTGGTAGGCCTATAAAATAGATTATGTTTTTCATTGAATGTATCTTTTAAATAAAGACTTTTCCATATAATGCTTAATACTATGACATGTCTCCCATGTCATAGGGGAGATCATGATGGATACCGCTGACTAACACCAATCACATCTACCAACCCACACTGGACCGGCATGGCAAATTATGATCTATTCCTTCCTTATGCCAATACAACTTCAAAACCGGCCCTCATTCCCCAAAGGCCCTAGGGCAACTACCCATGGCAGCTAAAACCTGCCTGAAGGCAGAGGGTGCAAGAATCACCGGGGTAAATCAGGCTGCCTTTGGAAGCTCAAGACCGTATGGGTTGGAAACATGTGGAAGAGGCCTTCATCCTGCAGTGGATAGACAATGGCTAAAATGATGATGAAGACTATGACATAATTAGAGACATATAATCAGTGTCCTTATTATTGAATAGCAGGGTCCAAGGAAACTTAGATCAGCTGCTGAATAATTTTCTGGTTGGCTACTGGGCATCAGAAAAGAAGCAAAGCAACACCTAGTCTCTCAAAAGAGTCTGCTTTTCACTTATTCTCATTGTATGAAATAGTGAGAATAGTATTAAAGGTAGAAGGAGGGACCTTTACATAACACTATCTAAGCTGCAGCTCAAATCATCACTGTCAATCATCACCTCTGCAAAAAAAAAACTATGAATATGTTTTGTAAACCTATACCTTGTTTAAGTAGATAATAAGTCACCAGAATAATTAGGTAGCTTTTAAATTTATACACAATAGTAAACCAAAGAGAGCTAGAATACAAAATATCTACCATAAAAGTCCTTTTTAAAGCAGAAATTGTGCAAGCCTAAGTTATGTTCAGATCCATTTGTTTCTAACCTCTTCTGCTGGTATAGAATTTGGTCACTTTTAGGAAGACCTTTCTTCCTAAAAGAAGATAATTTAACAGGAAATGCAGAATTGCCTGTTGGGGTCAGTCCAGTAATTTATGATTGGAGGAGAGATTAGGTCCATCTTCCAAGAAAGAGCATTTCTGGAATTCCAATTCAACTGTTTCAATTTTAATGTCTAAATATATACACAAGTGCTCTTGGTAGGACATATTATTATATCTTCCTGATATTCCACTATCAAGGTGGAATATCAGGGTAAATATGCCTTATAGGACAGCACCTGGATATTACAAAAATATTAGGGGATGGTAAAAGGTGAGCAATGAGATTATTGTAGCAGAAGTCTGAAATATTAAACCAGTCCTTTTATATATTAAGATCTAAAATTCTCTGCTTGATTTCCCTTCAAGCTTTATTGAGGTCCAGCATAGATAACAACCAAGGGCTACTAAACCGATGTTACTGGTTTATTTGGAATATTTCCTATGTACAATGGTGCTTAACAGTTTGTGAACCTTTATGAATTTTCAGGTTCTGCACAAATACTGCCTAAAACATTATCTGTTCCCCACATAAGTCCTAAAACTAGATTAACCCCCCCCAATTAAACAGAAACTTTATACTTGTTCATTTATTTCTGAGGAAAATGAGCCAAAAACTACATATTTGTGAGGGAAAAGTATGGCATCTCTAGAATTATCACTTCATTTGAAGAGAAAATTAGAGCCAGGTATTTCAATCAGGTGTGAATGTGAAAAGTCCAGCCCTTATTTCAAGAATCAAATTTTGAGTATTCACTACCAAAATCTGATCTTCACAACACAGGTATGTGGAAGTGTGACATGGCCTGGAACAAAGGAGATTTTTGAGGTCCTCTGAAAATAGTTGTAGATGATCACCAGGCTGGAAAAGTTTACAAACTATTTGTAATAGTCAAAAATTCAAAAGGGTACACAAATTTTGTTTCTTGTTTCTTTGTGTAGTTTTTTCCCCTCCTAGTTCTTTTTTCTCAATAATGTCCTTTTTAATAGCTAGACTTCATAGGCTTAAAAGAATGTGTAAGTATATACAGCTGTATTTACTCTCTAGGTTCCAGGATAGTCATTTAAAATTATTCCTTCCCGCCTCAGTTCGTTTCTGAAATTAACCCATTAAAATAACAATTAGTTCAAGATCTCTTAAAGGCCAAATCAAGATAAGTCATTTTCTTATGATTGCTATCCTCAGCTAAGGAAAGACTAAAATCAGAATTTTGTACTCGCTTACTTTAGATCACAACCCTGATTCTTAATCTAACTCTTCATCAAATCTATAAAGTATGGCAAACTTCATGAATAGCTGATCTTACCTTTCCATTAATTATTGTATCTATGCTCATTAACGTATATTCTTCTACATCTGTTTCTGTACCATTTTGAGTTGCACCACATCCATCCACTACTGCATTGCCACCTTTTAAAAAGAAATCAGATTGAGTGAAGAACACAAGCATCCAAAGAAGCCAATTTGTTTTACATTTATTTTATATTCAAATGTTAATAAAATCAACCAGAAAATAAACAGCATACCTTTAGAAATGTCTTTTCTAAAATAAAACATGCCCTGCCGGACAGCATCTCGTTTCTGAGCTACTTTCATGTTTTCATCCACCTAAGAAAGGGGGAATAGGAGAAAATGTTACACTGGGTTTCTTGCTAAAATGGAAATAAATTGTAGTTAACTTTCTAGTCAGAAGATTTTAGAAATTGCACTTTAGGGCATAGCATTGGTTTGCATAGATTTGTATAGCTACTAAATATAATTATGTAAAACAAAAATTAGGTTTAACCATAATTCTATGATTATCTGGAGTTCTAAACTGATATTGTCTTATGGAATGACTGCTATCTTATCTATCTTCAAACATGCTATCTTATGCTAACATGCTAAGTATGATTTTTCCATGTGCCTAAACCTCGAAACAATTTACTCAACTTTCAGCTATTCCCTCACTGAATTAAATGCACAATAATTAAGAAAATCCCATTTAAAGCAAATTTTATGAATTTTAGATTAATCACACAGAACAAAGGTTTTAACATCATCACTTTGTGACAGAAATTTGGATCCCAATCACTGTAATAAAGCAAGGACTATCAGTATAAACAATTGAGCGAATAAGAACAATTTCTTGCTACTAAAGTTTGCAATTTAGCAGGAGACAGTGCTTAACAATTGTAGCTCTGGCCTTGTGGAGTATTCTCTCCTATGTCTTCTAACATGCTAGAACATAAAATTTTTTCCAAAGAACATTTGAGTTGAACAGTTTATTGCTACTATGTTTAACATTTTTTAAATAGCAGAATTTATATTTATTTGTGTTATTTTATTTGGTTTTGTTGTGATTTATTTTTCATTATTACTATTATAAGTCATCTTTGCATTATTATAACTTCAGTTGCTTTAATTTATTGATATATACCAAGGAATTTTTTAACTGTTCTAGATGCATTTGCAGGATCCAATCTGGGTTGGTCACTGGGACTAGAGGTTTAGTCTTCCAGGTTTTGGACTTGTGCTGGAGTTTATCCTCAACCAAAACTTCTCTCTCACAAGAATGTGTGCTTTGGGTATTATATGCTCAGTATTTATACAGTGCCTGGTTGTGTGTGACTTTTTATTGTTAATTGGGGTGTTGATAGCTGGCTGTTAAGTTGTTGGCTGTTGTTTCCTTGTGTTGCCAAGTCCAAAAGCTCAGAAGATTAAAACTCTGGTCCCGGTGACCACCCCCGATTGGATTCTGCAACATTATCCCAGGACATGTATATTTGCCTTCATTCATATAGATGCTTTTGTTGATTGTGTTGTAAAATTCTTTAAGACTAATGATTTGACAGCACAGAAGAAAAATAAATATTATACAAACACTCTTACCTTTGACAAAGGAATGAGAAAATCCAATTTGTATGAGAGAATGACTCGAGTTAACAATACAACAAACACAACATATGCTGAGTTTTCGAAGTCTGTTAACTGGACCTAGAAATTGAAAAGTATTTTTTAGAATTGTTAACGTATGTATGTTGTACATATCCCAAACATAGTACAGAAAGATTACATCATAGATTCTGATAAAGACTGTGAGATATCACTTAGAATCTTTTGCTAAATATTATCAAGATTATACCTTTTTGTGCAAGTTTTCCAAAAACAGAATTCCAGAAACCAACTAATGGTATGGTTAGATATTCTTGTATAGCAGTGGTTCTCAACCTGTGGTCCCTGGACCTCTGAAGGGCTGCGATGTCATCACAGGGAAGGCTTGAAGAAATGTTACAATTTAAATCTTGAGTTAAGTCTTGGGGGTCTGTAGCCATGGTCCATGGTCACAAAAGGTATTTAAAGGTCCATGGTAAAGAAAAGGTTGAGAATCACTGTTCTATAGAATTCTGCTGTTACATGTTCTCTTTTGAGAATTCCAAAATGGCCAATTATCACCAATATTAACTTCTGATACAGCCAAAATAACACTTGCACATCAATATTTTAAAATAGGTATTTCAGAATTAATGCAGCGTTATACAGAGAAAATATGATTAAGGAATGATTTGAAATTTGTGATTCTTTCTGATTTGATTATAATTTCAGTTGAAATTAAGACTATCCCAGGCTTAGAATCTATGGCAGGCAATCACTGTTTGTAGCGGTGGTAAACTGCATAACTTATCAAGGTATTTAAATGTGTATCATGGAAATGTCAAAATAGAAAGCATGAGCAAAAAGTTGCAAATGTACTGAAATATGTATTTCAGTTTTCATTCATAACATAAGCCACTGAGCATGTTTAGTCCTTACCTCCATTGGTCTGAACTCAACTCTCCATCCAATATCTGAATTTGGAGGAGGAGGCTTAAATCTCATTGTCTGCCAATTTGTTGACTGAATATTCTACAGGAGACAAAATAGGTGTTATTAGGCTATAACTGTAACTCTATGTGGTCATCATAGCAAGTAAGACTTTAATACTTTTGAGAACTCATGATAAAACAATAAGCTGCAAAACTGCATCAATTGCACTAACAAAGCATGAGAGACTTTGTACTGAAAATATTTAGAATACTATACAGATTGTAGTCCTTGAGTTATGACTGCAATTGGGACTGGGATCGCAAGCAGACCCAGTTTTTGTTGTAACTCAAGATGCCTGGGTTGTTAAGTGGGAAGTGGAGGGAGTCCCAGCAAAGAGGTGCAATGTAGGCCATACACAGATTTTGGGAGGAAGATGCCGCAGTGTGGCGCAAGCTCAGGAAGTCCAGGGATGGAGGATGTGGGGTGCGTGCAAGCACAGGGAGAATTTACTGGAGCAACTCATAGCCTTCCTCCTGACTTCCCCATTATCTTTGCTTGGGGGAAGCCAATAGGAAAGGTTGCAAACTGTGATTATGTAACTGAAGGATGCCACAACCACTGTAAACTTGCTGCCAAGCACCTGAATTATGATCATGAGACTGCGAGGGTGGTGCAACAGCTAGGAATGGTCTTAAGTATCACTTCAGTACTGTTGCAACTTTGAACAGTTGCTGAACAAGTAGTCGGTAAGTGAGGGCTAGCTTTATGTAAATATATTCTCAGATTTTGTTTGCTTTTATTAGGTGAGATTCATGCTATCTGTACTGATAGAAATTGGATCATGCCAACCCTGTCCAATCATAGGATGAGCAGAAATAACAGGAAGATTCTGTACTTCTGTACTCATTGTTTTTGATTTTCCACAACAGATACTTAATTAGAATTTGGTAGACTTGGGCAGACCAATGTTTCCAACAAGTATACAGTTTTCAACTTTTGTTTCCAAAATTTTTGTATGCAGTCAACTCATATCACACTCCCTAAATTATACACTGACCTATACTCTTAAAACTGAGTAAGTATTAAACATTTTTGTCACATTACTGATATGAATAAACACAGAATTTTTATCTGTATTCAAATATGCAATGAAATACATACTTGCAAGTTGTCATTTAAGAAATACTGAAGAAACACGTATGCAGCAAATAATTATTTGGCATAATTAAGTGCTGCTGTAGTTTTGATCCTTTTTATTAAAAAATAAATGGTATATTAAACAAACTATGTACAACTTTTTAATATAAACTAGTATAACAATATAACCTCAAAATGATCAGATTCATTTGCATCATCCAGATGAATTTTTTCTTCAAACAGTGTCAAAGGGTCACGAATAAATAAGTGAGCAATGTGTTGTGCCAAAAGATGATCAATGCCTACAAAACCAAGAAATTGAGATATCCATTGTTAAAAAAGCAAGTTTATTAAATACAATGTGCACATTTATTTGCTTGCAGTAACTCAATAGAGCTGAGGAGAGATGAAGCAGTCACCACAAACACATGAATGAAATATTTTGAGTTTGATAAGAAATGTGATAGTTGACTCATTCTTTCAATCAAGAAAAAAACTGCTTTCAAGATGAGGGGTCACGGCAGAAAATTAACTAGCACATCTAATGCTGCTTTGTGTGATACTTCAAGAACAGCTTGTTTAAATTAATCACAAGTAGTCCTTTCTAAGGATTGTGTCTGATTAAGGGAGAAAAAAAACAAGACAAAGGCTTGGAGCCTCGTTGTCACACTGATTTAAATACTTACCCTCTTTTACTAGATGCTCATAGATTTCTTTATCTATTGTCAAATCAATGTCATTGTACTTTTCACCGCATTCTGAGAGATAACTGTCTATGGAATCGTATCTGGATTTATTGATTCTGAAACGGTTGTTCTTCAATGGCTATGTAATTTAAGAAGAAAAATGTCTAGTACCTATTGTCATTATCTGCAAGAGATACTATAACACTGAGTCAATGTAGCATTGTAACCAAAACTGCATACATATTTTTCAATAATTTAACTATTTAATAATATGGACTATTCATATAAAGAGGGGCAGGAGTGTTTAACAATAATTAACGAACAGTATAAAATGATTAAATGATACAAATCCATTATACGAAAAGTAAAATCTACTAAAGAAAAAATGTAAAGAGAGGGAGATAATAAACCTCAGTGAAGGAAAACCTTAAACAATCTAACAAGTAAGATATGAATCAATAAGAGTTCCTCGATCGCCATGCTAGAAAAGGTTAGAGATATAGTTAGAATAATGAAACATCAGAGGCAAGTACTAAAATTCAACAAAATCTAAGTTAATTTTACTAACTTTATCTCCTGCTATTGGCAATAATTATACATGGTAAATATGAACATTTATATACATAAATACTTATTTCATACTCAGAACCTGATTAGAAATCTGATGAGAATAGTTGTACACAAAGAGCACGTCAAAATCTAATCTAAAAAAAAATAATTATCAGAATACATAAAGCTGGAACAGTTTTAATACCTCTGTATTCCAATTTTTCAATTTTTGATGGCCTAATCTGATTAACCTCATCCATCTTAGAAGGCAAAAAAGGTTTGACTTTGGTATTCATTACAGAAATACCAAGACTGTCAATTGGGGTGGGAAAGCCAAAACGTATTTCAAAAGTAGGCACTGGGAAACCATTTCCTTTAGCATTGTCAAGAAAAGTAGATATAAAAATGTCTTCACTTTCTACATTCAAATAGATTTAAATAACAAAAAAATGCTTAATGAGCAAAATGCTTAAAATTATGGAAAGTTTTCAAGGAATGAAAGATAAGTTTAGGAAGAAATATTTTTGTGTGAGAGCATGAATACCTAGGCCATGGGTGTCAAACTAGCTGCGTCACATTGCTATCACTTGATGTATCGTGACATTTTTTCCCTTCACAGAGGTGGGGTGGGCATGGCCTATGTGTGACGTATCCGGTCCGTGGGCCACCAGTTTAACACTCCTGACCTAGGCTAACTACTCTTGCAAACTCTTAACTGCTTTGCTCACAGCTGCTGAATGTCCTCCTCTTAAGAAAAGCAAAATACAACCCCCTGATGCAAAGAGAATGCTATTCCTTAGATAATTTCAGTTGTTATATATTTCTATTTTTCATTTCTCTTGCTCAATCCAATTTCAGAACAAGATTAATCACATGCACATTTTTGTACATTTATTTAAAAAAAATTGACAAAAAAATTGTATCGGTGATTCTGCCTCTAGGAAATTAAAAGAAATACCAGAAGAATGTAAAAACACATGACATTTTATATGAAGATCATACTAAGAGAATGATCAAAGCATTTTTAATAAATGGGTTTGCAATTCTGTAACCAAGAATACATACTAGTGATACAACTGATCTACATTTGAGAGGTCTCACATACCTCTAGACCCCTCTCCTCTCTTGTTCTGTCATCTACTGATGCAGATATAACTCCCCAACGGCAATCAATATCTGTCACATAGCCTCTGTAAAAAGGAGCTGCAGCACTTAAAGCCATCTAAAAGAATAATCGGAGAGAACGTATTGTAATGAATTATCAATGCAATACCATATAAAGCTAAGCAAGTATGATCCTGAAATACAAGATGCTCTGCTCGTCTTCATCAAATCACCTTTATTTACAATACTACGAATTGTTTTACTAGCCAAGCAGACTCCATTTGCACTCCAGTCAGCATCTTCTACTCTAGTTTCTTTTTCTAACTGGAAAACTGTCCCCCTCCAGTCCCAATATAGTGCATATCCCGAGTTTGAGAAGTGAAAATTATGAATCTGTAAGAACTATGAAAAGTAAGGTAGACAAGAAAAACCAAATGCACAGGTACAAAATAGGTGGTACCTGGCTCAACAGCAGTAACTGGGAAAGGAATTTAAGAATCCTAATGGACAACCAATTAAATATGAGTCAGCAGTGTCAAAAAAAGCCAATGTTTATACCATTATATAACCACTTTATACTGCCTTGGTAAGACCATACTTGGCAAACTGCCTCTATTTTTGGTCACCATGCTTTAAAAAAAGGTGTTAAGACTCTAGGAAGGCTGCAGAGAAGAGCAGCAAAAATAATTAGGGAGCTAGAGGCTAAAACATGATGAATGGTTGCAGGAACTGAGTATGTCTAGTCTAACAAAGAGAAGGACTAGGGGTGACATGATAGCAGTGTATCTGAGTGGCTGCCACAGAGGTCAACCTATTCTCCAAAGCACCTGAGGATAGGATAAGAAGCAACGGATGGAAACTTATAAAGAATAGATCCAACCTAGAACTGAGGAGAAATTTCCTGACAATGAGAACAATTAACCATTAATTAATCAATGGAATGGCTTGCCTCCAGAAGTTGTGGATGTTCCATCACTGCAGGCTTTTAAGAAGAAACTGGACAGCCATTTGTCTGAAATAGTATAGGATCTCCTGCTTGGGCAGGCAGTTGGGCTAGAAGACCTCCAAAGTCCTTTCCAAATTCTGTTATTCTTATGCTGACAGTATTTTGAGGATATAAGATTATGTCAAGGTAAAATGTGCTACATGGGCATGGCAACAAATATTGCACTACCTCTTGCTGTATTTTCTTCTCCAGCCCCTAAGCAACAGCTTGCAAATTTCTGATCTCTTTTATTCTTTCCATATAATTCATCAAGGATGGGAAATTTTAGCTTACTGAACATAAACTATCACCACTAATTTACAAATCTTATACCGATTGTTTTGAGGGTTGCCTCAATGAACATGCTTTTTAATCTTTTTTAAAAGAGTTTTAAAACAGTTTATATATATATATATATGCTTTCTGGGAGACTCAGATAGCTATTTCTGCCTCTTAAGGTGTCCTCGGTGAGCCACACCCACTTCCCAATTATCCTCCCTGTAAAGGCATAATGTATCTTTTTTCTTTTTTCATAGGCTTTTATGTGCATATTCTCTCTGAGATTTCACAGAACCTAGGGCTGAAGAACAACTAAGTTTACATAGGTAAAACCTGGCTAGAGAGAATATGCACATAAAAGCCTATGAAAAAAAAAGAAGAAGATATATATATATATATATAATTAATCATATTTCTATGCCGCCCACTCTCCGAGGCCTCTGGCGGCTTACAACCATCGACAGTATACTAAATAGCATATTGCCCCCAACAATCTGGGTCCTCATTTAAATATAATAAAGTGTGTCTCTGAATAAAAATGTATTCAACAATAAAATGATTTTACTCACCACAATGGGACAGATTGTGGCTAGCTGATCATAAAGGTATCTTGCTTCAAAAATGCTGCAGGCCTGGAATGTTACCTGTATAATAAATAAAAATCTATCATGATTTATGTTAAAAGTGAATATCCATGTTATTGCACTTTCCAGAAATCATAAAAAATGGCTCCACTGAATTTCTAACTGCAAGACTGTTTCTTTCCTGCAGACCTGGGATCATACAGTGGGAATTAAGTCCCCTTTTTCTTCCTTCCAGAATCTTATTGCTACTAGGCGTTACAAACACTACCTCCGAAACAAAAGTACCTATGCAGACTCACTCAAGAGTTCAGTTCCAAATCACAAATTGATTTATGACAATTTGAATACAGGTAGACCTCGACTTGTGAAAACTGGGACCAGAATTTCCATTGCTAAGCAAAGTGGTTGTTAAGTGAGTCATGTCCAATTTAATGACCTTTTTACCATGGTTGTTAAGCAAACCACTGCAGCTGTTAAGTGGTTTGGTTATTAAACAAGTGGTCTGTTATTAAACAAATGTGGCTTCTACCATTCATTCTGCTGGTTGAGAAGGTCGCAAATGGCAATCACATCATCCTGGAGTGGTGCAACCGTTGTAAATACATGACAGTTGCTAAGCACCCCAATTTTGATCACCTAACCATGGGGATGCTGCAACAGACATAAGTGCAAGAACTGGTCGTAAGGCACTTTTTTTAGTGCTGTTGTAGCTTTGAATGGTGACTAAAGAAACGCTTGCAGGCAGAGGACTACTTGTATTCAAATTTAAAGAGCAAAATATTGCCTTTTCTTAGCCATATATTGAACATTTTCACATATTTTGCAAGATCTAACTGTCTTATATGTCATTCCTTTTTCCTTTAACTCATCTAATGATACTGATATTCATTTTTCACACCAGGCACCTTATTCTCCCTCACCATAAATAACAGGATGTGTCATTTTTGTATCAATCTTTCACTTGAAAATTTATTTTACAATTTTGATGTGCACTTTTAAATACACCAGTGCTTCTCATGACCTTTTATTTTGCATTACATTGTACAACCCTCTACTTTTCTTTCATTCCAATATTTTAAAATACTATTACATTTAATTATTTAATTGTTTTATTTATTTGCTTTGCGGTACCTTATTTTTGCAACTCACTGTCTTCAGATGTTTTAAGAATTCAGTCACTCAAATTAGTCAATGCAATTTTTCGAATCTCCTCTGCTACGCTATTATTTTTCCATCACCTTTGTTATGACTGTTTTAGTTACCCCTCACTTTTCCTCCTTGTGTGTCTATTAGACAATAAACTTGTAGAAAATTACTAATCTTGTATTATTTGCTGTCTACTACTAATCTATCAGTTGCTTACAAAATATTAACAATTACCACAGCTTGGCATGGTGCTTGAATATTTATGGAAAGGAGGAAAAAAGATGCCTAGCTGTGCAATGAACAGCAGAGAAAAATACATGCCTGTAATATATAAAATCTGGCTACAGAATACGTAACTGAAAAATTCAAACAGCTGTTATGAAAACAACACAAAGCCAAAAGACAGCAGTAAAAATACTTAACAGTGTACTTATTTCAGTGAGTTTACCTGAAGGCAACAATTGCCCATGCCAAATCCCATGGCATCCATATATACATGATCGGGCTTAGCTGCTCTTACTGCTTCACCATCATCACTAGGAAATGTTTCTTTAAACGGCGATGGAGTATTCTTGTCTTTAAATACTGAATAAGACATTTGACAAAAGGTTAAACTCTTGGTTCTCAAAAGGTTAATTAAAAAAAAAAATTTAACAGTGAATTGCTTTTTTCACTTACCTGGTACATTTATAATTACTTTTTCGCCTCTTCTATGTCGAATATTTCTCGTTAAAGTACTAAAAAAAAACGTAAAAAAATTCTGAGATGTTGCCTTAAAACAAACATTTTTCAATAGTTTTATAACTTTTTAGATTAATATTTGGTTTATGGGTTTTCTAACCTACTAAGCTGATTAAAAATTATTTGTATTCAGTGAATTATATGAAGCATCAACACTATCTTGATACAGTGTTATGAGAAATAATGTCAGAAGATAGCTTACTTATTTGTCTATATTGCAAGGAATTACAGGTAGTCCTCAACTTACGATCACTGAGTCCAACATTTCTGTTACTAAGTGAAACATTTGTTAAATGTCTTTTGCCCCATTTTATGACTTGCCACAGTTATTCAGTGAATCACTGAAGTTATTAAGTTAGTAATAGTTAAGTGAATCTGGCTTCCTATTGACTTTGCTTTTAAGAAGGTTGCAAAAGGTATGATCACATGACCCCGGGACACTGAAACTGTCATATGAGTCAGTTGCTAAGGATCTGAATTTTGATCATGTGATCAAGGGGATGCTGCAATGGTCATAAGTGTGAAAAATGGTCATGTCACTTTTTTCAATGAATTTTTTTGTTCTAGAGGGAACAAAAGATAAAAAACAAACTATTTCGGTATGCAATTTGTCTGATCTGCTTTCCCCTGCCTTGCGGAGTAGAGATTAGAGAGAAAGGAATTACAAGAGAGTAAGCAGAATACATTGGACTGTTTGTAGAGCTATTCCAGGCCAGCCTTGAGAAAGATTGTCTTTGCTATTATGGACAGAATCCTTCTCTGCAATATAGAAGCAATCTTTCTCAAAATTGGCCAGGAATAAGAAATCAGCCAGTGAAATTCCTGTTTCTGGTCAGCCTTGATAAAGCAGTTGCCTCTCTAGATTTGAGGAACATTGCCTTTGTCATCTTTTACATATGCCTTACATTGGCTGCACACATCTGTCAGCAGCTGCAGTGAAAAGTAACTCAACTAGACATAGTGGGGCAGGCCTCCCATGAGTGGGGGTGGAGATAGGGAGGCTAAAGTGGCTGAGGCCTTCTAGCCTATGGTGGGGAAGGAATTGCAGCGCTTCTGCAATCTTAAGTATAGTATAACCTTTATTGTCATTGTACATCATGTATACAATGAAATTGGTTGATTACACTGTCAAATACCAAAATTTTGATCATGTGACTGCAGAGGTACTGCAATCAGGGTGGATAAAAATTGATGATTTTCTTAAAAAAAATAAAAAAACGGATTTTTTTTTATTTTTATCAAATTTATTTTAATAAAATGCTTTTGGAGTAAAAATCTATCTAAAGATAGTTTTCTACTTAAGATACATTAATAATTTAGTTTATTCAGCATGAAATGGAGCTTAGTTATGTAGCATGAGGCTGTATATTCTGCAATATTGGGACTTTGGTGAGTCAACAGCAAGTCAGAGAAGGAGCTGTTGTGGGACAGAGATGACAGTCGCTCTTTAAAAATTATGATTTAAATCGAGTTGATTTAAATCAGGCGTTTTTACTAGTGATTTAAATCATGATTTAAATCAACTCGATTTAAATCAAATCCACTCTGGCTGCAATGGTTTGAACTTTGAGTAGATAAGCTAGCTCTGAATCTCTTCTTAAATAGCATTGCCTGTGGAATTAATGTTATAAAGGATGGGAGTTTTGTCAGCCTATTAAAAGCATTGATAAAACTAAAATAATATCTATAGAAAGAATAACTACATTCAACATGAGTGGTGAACCTCATACCAAATTTAAATTTGGATTATTATTATGAATTAGCATATCTTACATCATCTACGTTTTGAATACATCTGTATTCCTATTCAAAACTTACCTAAACCTGGGATGTTTGTTTATAGCCTCATCTGGGAAGAAAAGAGACTTTGAGGCTCCCATCTCAATAGGTGTTGGATGATACTCTGGTATCGTAAATCCTGGACAACCTAATCTACAAATTAAATCAAATCGAGATCTCTAGTTGACAAACATTCATTTAGTAAAGTTATATTAGAAATATTCCAGAACAAAAGTAAAAACCAAAGTTTATTAAGAATAGTAGTTATGTGTTTGGCACAACTCTTCTATAGACAGTAATTAAAACAGCTGCAGGCACTCAGTAAATGTACATTTTATCTAACCAATTAAAATAGGTTAATCTTGTTTCTGCCAAAAAAAAACCCTGATCCAAAACAGGTAAGAAGTTTACCAAATATGTTTCTAAGTAGAAAGCTTTCTAGTGCAGTGGTTTTCAATTTTCTTTACCACAGACCCCCTCTAAAGAACTTTTGTGGCCACAGACTATGGCCACGGACCCCCAAGACTTAACACATAACCACAGACCCGTGGTCATAGTGACCGCAACAGTTTTCCAAAATGTTCAGAACATCCCTATTTTTAGAAATGGGACTGTTCTGGTTGCACATAACTTTTGTTTTCCCGCCAATAAGAGTGTATGGAGCATCGCACTTGTGTGAGTTACTTGGTGTTTTCTGTAGTGACATTTAAATTTGAGTTGCGGTCATTTTGACTGCAGATCTTTGTTAACTTATGTTTTTTTTATGTCAGGGCCACATTTTCTGCCAAATAGTGTGTGATTTGGTGATCCAAATTTCAAAGAAACTGTTCTAACATGGTATGAAGAAGCAGAGAGTGATCTGAGTAAAGTGGAATCGGATTGCAACAAAAATTTTGTAATGACGCCAGCCCTGCGATCTTGTAAAGCCGCCCTGACAGCGCAAATCAGCTGTCCGGCGGCTGGAAAACCTTTCCCCGGGAGAAGAGGGAAAGGAGAGTAATCGGATGGGGGTAGAGCTCCCCGAAAGCCCCTGAAAGTTTTGGGGGCTTGGAGGGTGAGAGCTCCCCAGGAAGTCCGGTGAAACTCCGAGATCCAGGGCGCTTCTGCTTTAAGCAGAAAAAAACGTCGCGACCACTTCTGCAATCTTTACCGAGATCTAAGTTGATTATCTATGCAGACAGAGCGAAGACAGGAGAGCAGACAATCGCAAGTACAAACCCTTAATTCCACGCTTAAATTGCCACTTTTTGAAGTTGCTTAAAGGAGTGAAGAAAATGGTGCTTGTGCTTAAAAGGGTGTGAAAGTGAAAGTTAACTCTTGATAAAGCTGTTAACACCCAGCATTGTTCAAGGTGGTTGGATAAAAAAAAAATGGCTGGCTTTTTTGAAAGTGATGAAGGCTCACTATTACAAACATCAGTAAATACACAAATACTGATTGTGGATCTCTTTAAACAAATTTTAGAATCGTTTACCTCCGTGATAGTGGAAAGAATGGAAGGGTTTTTCAAGAAGGATTTTACTTTGGGTGGCAAAGCAAAGGCAGCTGCCTAGAGATGTGGTGATCTACTTTACTGATAAAGAAATAAGAAATGATATTGTGCAAAAGTCTTTTAACTCCACTCTTGAAATGCATGGAAGGAAGATTTGGATATTTAAAGAGCTACCGCCCAAGATGTTAAAAGATAGAAAGGATTTTGGATTTTTGGTGACTGAGCTAAAGAAACAAAACATCCCATTTAGGTGGGATGTTCCAGTTGGTATAATATTGAGATATCAAGGAGAAAGATATCAACTAAATACTGTTGAAAAAGCGGAAGAATTTTACTATAAGGTTTTTAAAATGGGTTCAACATCTCCGTGTATAACACACGAGGGGAATAAAGAAAAGCAAAATCAACAAGAGATTGAAATTCAGGCTAAGCAGATGGTAGTGGAGGTAACGGAAAAACAACAAGCTACAGAGGCCTTTGTGGACGAGCCGCTTCTGGATTCTCCTTCAGAGGTTATAGTTGGATTACCTATAAATACAAGAGAGGCGGCTTTGGATTCTAATGTGATGATTTATCAAGCTACAGACCAGCATGGAAATCAAACAGTTGATATACAACTCATAGAAAGGAAACCAGGATGGAGATCTAAGCCACAAAAAGTTAAGAAAAGAAGAAGCAGGTCCTACAAAAATAAAATTTTTTAGACTAAACAACAGTGTAATGCCAGTTACTTAAGAGACGATTGAATATATGAAAATATAGTTGAGGCAAAGTATTGGTTTATATTATCTTGAGGAGAGTGACAGATCTCTGCAGTGCTGTACTCTTGGGATGTGGAAGATGGCCTTAAATTGAGTGGATTGGAACTTTCTATTTTGGACTCTTTGACAAATGGATTACGTTTATGCTAAGCTACAAGGCAAGAGAATTATGGGATTGGGGCATGCAGAAGATCTGGTTGTTACCCTAACATGGTGGTTGGAATGAATAATCTAGATGAAAGACATTACAAAAGACACTATATGGAATACAAATATAAAGTCACTTGGGTGGTTTTTTGCTATACGAAAATACTTACTATTGATGGGGGCAGATGGTAATTGAAGATACTGAACATACTGTTGGAACTAGAATTTGATGTTACCCTAACATGGGTGATGAAATTAACAATCCAGTTGAAAGACATCACAGAAGATAATATATGGATTACAAGCTTAAAGTCATCTGAGAATTTTATTTATATATGGAAATATTTTTTAGTGGTGTGGGCAGAAGAACAAAGATATCGAAAATATTATGTATGGTAGACCTGTAGGAAAGTGGGTGGAGATAGGTTAGCTTACTGTTTGTTTAGTTTAGGAAAAGGGATGTTATGCTATATTAATATACATAAAAGATTTGAATTAAGAGATATATGCATGGGGGAGGAGGAAATGGATAGATTATGAGCTGAAATTGCCAAATTAGGATTTGTTATTAGAAAGAAAGGGTCAGCATATGGGGGGTGGAGTAAAAAGGATGGTAAAGTATTATATAATTTGTTATTAATTTGGGTTTTATTCTGGAGAAGCCACAGGGGAGGGGAGGGGGGGTTAGGGAGGAGGGGGGGAAAAAGGGGGAAAAATTTGTATTTGAAAAACTTTTTCAATAAAAAAAAAAAAGGATTTTACTCAAGTTCGAAACAAAGATACAAGTGAAGATACTGTATCGGTATTTCAGTTGCCATATAATAGTGAGTTGCTGAATGAAGAGGTGGAAGAAACAATCCAGTTTAATGTGCCTTTGGAAAATGGAATGGATGTTTTTCAAATTAAGAAGGAAAGGCTGAGAGGTTTGAAGGAGTGTAACCAGGAAATATTGAGAGAGATTTCTCCAGAGGCTTTGATACAGTCAACTGGAAAATTGTCAGGAGGCGTTGGGATTTCTAATACAAGAAGGAGGATTCGAAGTGGAATTTTACAACTTTTTTTACAAAAATGGACTCTCAATTGCAGTTAAAGAGGTGTGTTTACTGAAAGGAACTACTTTGCGAAGAGAACAAGATTGTAAGGTACAGCAACTTCAATTGAAAATTCAAGAACTTATAAAAATAAAAGGCGGAGGAATAAGACTGAAGAAGAAGGTTCGCAAAAAAGTCAGGAAAAAATAGAGATGGAAAAATTACAATCCTTTTGCCTGGGGAGGATAGTAATAGTGAAAATGAATGACTATACCCATATTTAGGGATATGATTTGTTTTGAAAAGTTATGTTATAGTGAAAATGAATGATTTACTTATATTTAGGGACATGATTTGTCTTGAAAAGTTATATTAAGTAATGTTATGTTTGAATTGTTATGGGCCACTGACCAAACTTTCACTTTTGTCCTGGAGTATATTAACACTAAAGTTATATTTCAAGGAATGCTTTGTTGAAAAATTTATAGAAGCTTATGGGTTAAAAAAAAAAAAGAAAGAAAAATATTGGGGATGTAAAATTTATGGACAGTGCAGATCATTTAATATAAGTTTATGGGTTAGAAGGAGGATATTACTTAAATTTTTATACTTCGTTTTAAATTACATTAATATTATATTAAAGAATGTTTTGTTGAAGAATAAATATAAACTTGTGGGTTATAAGGAAAATATAAGTGGTGCAAGGGTTGAGGGAAGGTTTTTACAATATTTTTTATAGATATCAAATAGTGAAGATGTTATTTGATTATACGCAGTGGATTTGTAGAGAATAAGATGAATAAGTTTATGCAAAGCTATTAAGTAAGGAATGTTTCCAGGAAGAATCAATATAAGTTTATGGGGTAAAAAGTAAAAATAAGGTTTTTATAATATAATTTATTTGAGATCGGTTAAAATATTTTGTTAATGTGTTAATATATGTAAGGGTTGGAAATGTGATGGTTAATTGTAATTGGGCTCTGATTGTGTAATGCTGGAAGAAAGAAGACTTGCTTATTATTGAAGAACAGACAAGAACAAAGTTGGATTGATTACTTTCAAGCAATAATTGGTTTAAATAGTTATATTCAGATATGAACAAGGGGAGTTAAAGTGCAAAAGGGAGATAAATCTATATAGTTAGCTTATGTTTTTTTTTTATATGTTTGTTAAATGCTATATCCTGTATAGGGGGTGGGGAGGGTTGGGGCAGGAGGGGGGAAGAGGGAAGGGAAAATATGTGTAAAATTTTTTAAAACTTTTCAATAAAAAAAAAAATTGTAATGGATGATGAGGAACTCATTGCCGCCGCCGATTCTGACATCAATGATGATGAAGCTCTAGATGAAATTGATGACCAGGTACAATCTATGTCATGCAATAATTTATATGGCAAGAACGAATTCAATGGTATTCTGCAGCTTTTGGAAGCAATAGATCCAGAACCACTAGTCACAATATTGTAGTACAATTACCTGAACTAAGGCCAGCAGCTAGAGTGGTCATTATGACCTCATGTCTGTAATAGCGCAGCTGAAAAAGTATGTCCGTGGTTAAGGGTTAACTCAAGATTTAAATCATAACATTTCTTCAAACCTTCGCAGACCCTGTGACATCGCAGACCCCCAGGGGTTTGTGAGGTTGAGAACCACTGTTCTAGGGTATTAAATGTATTAATGTATTAAACATCACTCATTAAACTAAACATTAGAATGTATGGATCAACTCTAATAAAATTTGAAAAAATGAAGTTATTTGACATTTATATTCAAAGCACTGAATCAAGTTTATTCCATTTTCCAAATTGATTGAAATCATCAAATCATTTGAAATCTGATTCAATCAAAACAACTCCAGATCAAATCTAAAAAATTGTTAAAGTTAAAATTTACATAATACTCCACTGAAGTATACTTTTTGTAAAGAAATTTGAAACCATCACACATGATGATCGCCACCAATTTTAATGAATTTAAAAGGAGGCTGACCAAATTCATGGAGAACTGTAGTATGAATGACTTTTAGTCTTGATGTTACTTGCTATCTCTACAATCACAGATGGCATGATTTGATTACTAGCTGCTAGAAAGAAGTAGCAGAAAAAAGTCAATTTCCTATCTCTTATTTTCCTAAACACATCTAGCTGGACACTCTTAACATGGAATGCTGGCATATATACCCTGTGTGCACAATTATTAGGCAAGTTGTATTTTTGAGGATTAATTTTATTATTGAACAATTACAGTGCTCTCAGTTGACCCAAAATGTTAATAAACCTCAAACCTGAATATTTAAGAAAGTAAAAGTGAGGTTTTGGCTTTCTTAGGAGAATATCTATGTGTGCACAATTATTGGGCAACTATTAGTGTGCAGAATTATTATGCAACTAATTGAAAAACAAAAATTTCCCCATCTCATTTATTTTAATTTGTTAAAGTGAAAATAATAAACAATTCAAAATTTACAAATAAATATTTCTGACATTTCAAAAAATAAAAATAAAAATCAGTGACCAATATAACCACCCTTCTTTTTAATAACAGTCATAAATCTTCCATTCATGGAATCTGTCACTTTCTTGATCTGTTGACGATCAGCTTTTTGTGCAGTAGCAACCACAGCCTCCCAAAGCCTGTCCAGAACACAGTCTGTTCAGAGAAGTGTACTGTTTTCCATTACCGTAAATCTCCTGTTTAAGAACGGCCCACAAGTTTTCAATAGGGTTTAGGTCAGGTGGGGAAGGGGGCCATGACATTATTCTTTCATCTTTAAGAACTTTACTGGCATGCCACACAGTGGAGTACTTCGATGCATGCAATGGAGCATTGTCCTGCATAAAAATCATGGTCTTCTGGAAAGATGCAGAATTTTTCCTGTACCACTGCTTGAAGAAAGTGTCTTGTAAAAACTGGCAGTAAGTTTGGGAGATGATTTTGAGTCCATCTTCAAACCGAAAAGGTCCAACTAGCTCATCTTTAATACCACCAGTCCATACCAGTACCCCACATCCACCTTGCTGGTGTCTGACTTTTAACAGAGAAATTCCAGGGTCAATTACAGTTATAAATTGAGGACTATTTATTTTGTCATTAGCATATTGCTCAGATGAGATAAGGTTCTTACACTGGAATGCAGTCTTTGCCTTTTGTCAAAGAACAGTTTTCATTGAAGTGAAAAAATTATATTTTGGTTAGATCCATCCACAGAACGTTCTTTCAATAACCTTTTGATTTGCTTGGATCATTTTAGTCACGAATAAACAAACAAATGTAATACTTTGATTAATTTGCTTAATTGGATTCTCTATCAAATTTCAGGACTTGTGTGGAGAACAGATCATGTTTTAGGTTATATTTATGCAGAAATATTGAAAATCCAAACAGGTTCACAAACTTTTAAGCACTGCTGCAGCTATAACTAAGTAGCAGTGGCTCTAAATGGGAAATACTTTATGGTGAATCTTCCTCTTTTTAAAATAGCTTTAATATTACAACTTTTTTGTGAGTGACAGCCATTTGAAACCACTATATTTTCAAACTATTAGAAAAACAGAATCTAACCTTGGAAATGATGTGACAGTGCAAACAGCTTCATCTTTTTTTAGTACTGAAGCAGCTTCCTGGCGCCGCTTCCTCATGTTGTCCTGTACAGTGTTAAATTCAGACATTGTTCCTCCATATGGCTGCCCAGGAGTCCCTTCGATCATGTAGCTTCCATACTCTGGCCTCCATAATGTTGGATGGCTGAAAAATCAAATGAAAACTGAAAGTATCTTCTACAATAACATATACTTACATAGCATGCAATTGTAATTTAGCTTTTAACTCTGAACCATGCAAACAAAGGTAAAAACCTTGACTCAGGATGGGGATGGCTTAATCTAGTACCTTAATTTACTTAGAACAGGGATCCCCAACCAGTGAGCCATGAGGCGATTGAAACCAGGCTGTGGAAATGGCCGGCAAGCACCCACCCACACTTGTGTAAGTAGCAGGCAAGCGTGTGCGTGCACACTCCATTTGCATGAGCAGCAGGAGGGCATGCACACCACTCACACAAATGGAGCTGTGCACATGCTGAAACATTCCCTCTCCCCCCGCCAGTCCGCAAAGCCGGAAACGTTGGGGAACTCTGTCTTAGAATGTGTTTTATGATTAATAGGGATTCTAACTTTTTGGAAGAAAAAAATGCAATAGTGTAAGTAAACAGCACTATACCATGCGTAATTAATCTTTCGGTCAACAAAACAAATGAAGATATTTAAAAATATATCTGGCATAAAATACGAATTGTATTTTGCCATTTCTCAAATACAAAATTAATCATTTTAATAATTAAATATTAATTAATTAAATAATTAAATTAGAAACATTTGCCACTGTGTTGCTGCAAATTGAAAGCACTGATCTTTTAGGGTACATGCAAACACGTATTATTTATGAAAATACATTTCCCATTGTTTAGAAAACGAGAGCCAATTTGGTGAAGTGGTTAAAGAAACCAGTTACAACTGAGAGACTGCAAATTTTGGCCTGTATTTGTAAGCTGGATAACTTTGGGGCCAGTCACTCATGGCAATGGCAAACTACTTCCAAAAACATTGCTGTAAAAACTCCATGGACCTGTCCAGGCAGGAGCCAAAAGTGACTTGTAATAGACAGAGACTGAAATACATGCTGATTAATAACCTGGCTAAATTTCAGCATGTATTTTTATGAGCTGATGATACTTACTTTGGATTTATTCTTTCACCTTTTTCTTGTAAAGTATGAAGTACTTCTTCTCCAGTTAATAACAACCGTGCTCTCTTATTTTTATGGTCAAAAGCTACCAACATATATTCCACCTAAAAGGCAACAGAAGTTCAAAATGTAATTTTTAGCTCACAAAACAGAAAAACACTAAGTTCACAAATTGGTGACCTGAGGAATTATAATTTTTAAAAGCAGACTTCATGGTAATGTTTTCTAAATGGGGATATTTAAAAATACATCTTTTATTTTTGCATGTCAAGCTGCAAATTTTGCAAGTCTTTTTTGCCCACAATGTATCAGTAAAGCATAATATTTACTCAGCAGTTGCACAGTGATTTCCTCAGCATGGTTTTGATCAAGGATGAAAGCCTGCCTAAGCTTCTCTTTCAATCCATTCTACTTAAATTTATCTCAAGATTTTGTTGTCACAAATTTTCACTTTTAAGACTGCAGCTACTCACAACATAGAAGGCAACTAAAGAGAATGATAGAAAACTATAGTATCCAGCATTACAAACATAGCAAACATCCAAATGAAAATCCATCCTAATACTTTTTTGAATCAAGAGTTTAAATGAGGCTATTAAAAATGTATGTATATTATATTTAACAATATAAAATGTCTTAGGAAATATAAACTATATACCTTTCAGTACAATTTTATATCAAACTTGCTGACTCAAGACTGTTTTTTTTGCTGACTTCATGGGAATGACAAAGCTATACTCTTATCGACCTTTCCAACATGCAATTTATTTACAATGTGGTCCTTGTGCAGAATAACAGGACATTTATTCTGTACCAAATTGAACTAAACAGAACTTAGCTGCTATTCAAGTCAATCCTAGCAGCCACATCCAGTCACCTTGCCCAAATTCAAAACAGAACTGTATACATCACTTCTGAAAAATCTAACTGAAATATTTTGATTGCATTTTAGCAAAATGTTGAGAAAATGATCCCAGGCATTTTGAATAAAGCAAAGAACTTATATTTGATTATAGCAAGAGAGGCATTCCGTTGCTTTGCTCACTCAGTAGAAAGCCACTGCTTCTAAAAGCACTTCTTCCAAAAAAGCAGGGAAGAAAGGAGAAGCTATTAGCAGCATTAATATGGTTGGTGAATTATTCAATTAAAAATCTTAAGCTTTTCTATAAAAACTAATGTACATTAACTTTTCAGCTTGTTTCTGTAACTTTTAAGGTCTAGCTGTATCAATTTTGGTAGCACAAAACAGAGATTTACAAAAGGAAATTAAGTGAAAAAGATGGTTACTTCTAGTCTCCTAACTATTGTTATAATTTCAATGTATGGGCTGCTATTAAAGCTACTTACAAATCCTCGTGTTTCCTTTTTTTTCTGTTCAGCAAACAGAATGGAGGAAAAACACAGCATTATGAATATTAACAATGTACATGTTAACAATTTTTATTGCCAGTAATCTGCAAATACTGCTTGCTTTACCTAGAATGTTATTCCCAGATCATCTGAAACTAGGATTTTTATTTTTCTCAGGACATAGCCTGTTTAATTACTACTTGAAAATAATAATACCTTCACTAAGTTTTATTAGAATAAATAATGTATATTTTGAATTTGAATAAGGATTGGGGCGGGAGGGAAAAGCCAGTTGAGGATGCAGTCAATAAGGAAACTAACCATAAAAAACAAGTAACTTCTGACTTTGAAATACATTTGTGTACTGATCATGAATATATAATTTATAAATGTACAAACTTTTGCTGAAATTTGAAACATAGGAAGAAGTTAAAGAATGTATGATAAAATGGGCTAAGAAGTTTGTTTATAATACAGATGTATACAGATGGAATAATGGAAAAACATGTGATTGAAAGGGTAGAACTTTACACTGTGTTATGATATAAAAGAGATTTTTTAAAAAATAAAGTGATGCCAGAAAAATTATCTGGAATGTATAGAGGAGCTTAAATCAATGCTGGAAATGTGAATAATATGAATGGATGTTTTATCATAGACTTGTAAAAAGCTAATAAAAAAAATGAATCCAGATATATACAGAAAATTCAATGGAAGCCAGAACTTTTCCTTTTAAGATTATAAATAAACATGAATAAACAGAAAAAAAGCCATGGAAGATTATTTCAATATATGATCATAGCAGTGAGATGACTATATGCAGAAAGATGGATATAGAACCATTCACTATAGAAGAATGGTTGGTGAAGTTGACAAATTTTGCTGAAATGGATAAATTAACTTAATAAATATGAAATATAAATAAATTTCTTTGATTAGAGAAAATACATATATGTTTACCTAATGAAGACTGAAAGCTTCGTTGACTTTTTGCATAAAAATAAAAAAAAAGAATTTTTGACTTAGAGGTTTTGATGATTGATTAGGTGGGATGAATTATAGAAAGAAGAGCAATACGATATATTGTGTTTTCCCAAAAATAAGACCCTGTCTTATATTTTTTTGAACCTTGAAATAAGCGCTTGGCCTTTTTGCCATGCGCTCAAAAACCCGATTGGGCTTATTATCAAGGGATGTCTTATTTTGGGGGGAAACAGGGTAACTTTAGATTAACTATTGACTTTTTAAAATACAAATATTTCAGCAAACAATTCCTTAGGCAGCATTTCTGCAAAGGTGATGGACGATCAACTTTCTAGTGTCAATAGACAATGTTTTGTCAACATAATAATGAAGCTACGTATGAAGCAAGCCAAAAGACAAATAGGACACAAATTCTAGTTAAATAAAGGTCTTACATTTTCTTCATATTGGCAGATAATGATAACAAAACTTGATTGTGGTGAAGCAGTTAGTTTGTCTTTTCAGCTTGCTGAAAGTTTGATTATGCAGAGTGTTTATCAGGGGTCCTTGGTGTGTTTATCGCATTTACTATCAATTTGTAGATCAGAGAGAGTACTACCAGCAAAAGATCCTAAAACTTCTTTCTCCCCCCCACTTAGAATAGGTTTCACATTAATCTTGAATTTCAGATCTCTAACACAAATTTGTCTTGTTTTAAAAAGCAAACACGATGCACCTAATCTAGTAAAAGTTTATATAGTGGAAGAGAAATCAGTAATCTTAATACCAAGAAATGGCATTGTTATTATTTTCCCACAGTACAGTACAGCAAACTAAGGATTAACAAAAGCAAAAATTTCAAGCATAACAAAGAAGAATTTTTTTAAACTACAGACTGAATCTAATGATACCACTCAGATTATTATTCTACCAGTAAACCCATTTTATTATAAAAGAGCAATATAGAAAAATATCATTTGTGTCATTTACTTGGATATGTATAAAAGTATAAGAACTTTAACAACTTTACCATATAGAGGAATTATTAAGTCTGTCATCTGCACCTCTATAACTGTCTGGTTTGGTTCTGCAACCCAACAAGACAGACACAGACTTCAGAGGATAATTAGAAGTGCAGAAAAAACAATTACTACCAACCTGCCTTCCATTGAGGACCTGTATACTGCACAAGTCAAAAAGAGGGCTGTGAAAATATTTACAGACCCCTCGCATCCTGGACATATATTGTTTCAACTCCTATCCTCAAAACGAAGCTATAGAGCACTGCACACCAGAACAACTAGACACAAGAATAGTTTTTTCCCAAACACCATCACTCTGCTAAACAAATAATCCCCTCAACACTGTCAAACTATTAACTAAGTCTGTATTACTATTACTATTAATTTTCTCATCGTTCCTATCACCCATCTCCTCCCACTTATGACCGTATGACTGTAACTTGTTGCTGTATCCTTATGATTTATATTGATTGTTTCCTAGTATGATTCGATTGCTTATTTGTACCCTATGACTATCATTAAGTGTTGTACCTTATGATTCTTGACGAATGTGTCTTTTCTTTTTATGTACACTGAGAGCATATGCACCAAAGACAAATTCCTTGTGTATCCAATTGCACTTGGCCAATAAAAGAATTTCTTTCTTTCTTTCTTTCTTTCTTTCTTTCTTTCTTTTTCTTTCTTTCTTTCTTTCTTTCTTTCTTTCTTTCTTCTTTCTTTCTTTCTATCTATCATCTATCTATCTATCTATCTATCTATCTATCTATCTATCTATCTATCTATCTATGTCTATCTATCTCTACATACAGTTTCAACAATCACAGCTGATTTATCTTTTATACTAGTGTAAGAATATGTGTATGTACGTCCACCTATTTCCATAAATCTTAAAATTTAACTCCAGGTTTCTTTCTTTCCTATTTATGATTTTTGTATATATCTGCATTTTCTTTTAAATAAAATAAAACACAAAAATACTGAGGTTTTTGTATCTTAAAATCACAATATATGGTATGTTATACTAAAAAGCATTAATAGGAGAATAGACTTCTATTTTCTACCAGTTAAGTAAGCCCCTGTCATTTAAATACATTTTAATATCAAAGGGACCTAAATCAGATGTCTTTTAACAAAAGTTATAATTTGTACCAAGTACAACTTGAATACTATTTATTTAAAGGTAAAAAATATATTAAAAGCAGAATGTGTGTCAGTAGTTTATTTTTGTTTTGAAACTTAACTCATACTGCCCTACAAATTAAAATTTGTCTTTATAATTTTCTTATTTAATTAAAATTAGATCCTGTCACAATTAAAAACAAGTCTTAGTGGTTTACCCGAGGACTGCAATCCAATACACTTTCCTAGGGGTCAGCTCTACCAAAAACACTGGGGCCTATTTCTGAGTAACTGGGATGAACATAATCTGTACAGACTTCAAATTTATCCCTAAGAGATTTTAACTTTCAATTTAGTGTATTTTGAATATAGCAGATATAAGCATAGGAAATTAGGAGACCTAGGCCACTTTTCTATCGCAGAAGCTAGAAATTTGATTACACTCAAGTTAGTTTTGATAGTTTTAATCAAGTTAAGACCTGTACAATATTGTTAACTCTGATTACAAAAACAGATACATCCTTTTATTTCTGTCTTCAGGCTAAAATACATGTTTTAACAATCTGAAAGATCTGTCTCTTGGTGAGACAAGTTAGGATGTATATAAGGAATCTGTTCAAACATAACCCTTCAAAATTGCTCCTCCTGACAGCAGAGCAGCTAACAAACCAGGAACTCTCCCTTGGCATTTAATTACAACTACCAGACATGATCTGTAAAAATCTGGATAATCACTAGACATGAACAAAGTGATAAACCATTTAATGGTCAACCAGTTTTTTTCAGATCTGATTTGGTAACATTTACTAGCTTAATATTATATCTGGATTCCTAACTCTCTTAATATACAAAAGTCATAAGCTAGGAATTTTTTTCCCTTGATATTTCATTCCTTAATAATCCAGGCTTGTTACAAGAGAAACAAGACAGATGTATTGCTTAGCAAATCAGAAATGGAAGTTTCAGAGTTTACTTTGTTCCAGGCAGGAAAACTAAGAGAAGCAATAAAATATGGTCACTATTTCTTACTCCTGGTGAGAATTTGCTATTTTCTAAAACTAATGTCTATGCATTTTATATATAACTTTTCAAGATTTTTTATTGGCAACTTGATTTCCTGGAATTGAAAATAAGCATACAAGAGTTATACAATTCTATACCTACAGCAAATGCACAAAGCTATCAATCTTGATGAAAGGTTATAGCTGGCTGGTGGAGCATATGCTTTGCAAATATATGGTCACAGATTCTGTTCCTGATATCTATAGATGATAATATTTAAAAGAACTACTAGCAATTAAGTTTATACTAATGAGGTACGGGAATCAGTAACGTAGTGCATTTTTTCCTTTTTCTGAATACATATCTATGAATGCAATCTACCTAAAATTGAACCCATCAATATTGTTAAATGTGAGATTTGTAGTTTAATTATCTGATTTATCTTTATTGCAAAGATATTTACAACTATTTTTTTTTTAATGTAAAAACTTTTTACAGGCATTCATCTTCAGTGTTTGTGATGTACCATGCCCCTGGGCATCACAAGTCTGGAGTTGTCTTATGAAATCTTTTTTTTACAATGCATAGAGCAATTATCATAGTTCTAACGTACAAAATTGTATGGATTATTTTTTAAAGCATACATAATCTAAATCCTTGGAAATTATTCTAAGATTTATTTCTGTATGTAATATAATCTTGGAATATTTTCAGACTGATTGAATTGTAAAAAATAAGCTTTCCTCAGTATTAGCACACAACATATATTTCAATTTCGGAGTTTGTAAATTGACAGTTAAGAATCTTTGAGGATGAAAGGAAAAACGATCTTAAGAAAAAGAGTTTCAAAACTCCTCTTAGGTATTAATTTGGATAAAAGATTCAAGTAGGCTTTGCCCAAGATTATATTTAAAAGTCACTATCAAAGTGTATTGGTAATGTATCTGAAAGTTTGTCTTCAAGTCAGAACCTTTTTAAGAGAATTTGATGAGCCAAATTGTTATTTTCATATATTATGAATATTACATAAACATAATTCAAGCACAAAGTTTTCATTCTTAGAAAGCCTCATTTTCACAAACTCATTTTCTATTCTTTGGACATAGATTATATACAAAAAGATGTCAGCAATTAGTTCATGCTGTTATTTTGCTTAATCTACGCACAGCTCTAAGTTTTAGGTAAAAACTTTACAATTGAGCTTCAATTACAAGCAATAAAATCAATGACCAATTCAATTCATACTAAATGTTTTTTTCTAGCTTCATTTACCTCAGTCATTTTCAATGGGAAATATAGTTATTTATGTGTTTTTTGCAAATCATATCAAAATTGTTAAATAAATTCCCTACTAATTTTTTTTGGGCAGACTGCAAACATATAGAGAAAAAGCAGTTGAAAATTCCTTAAAACATATGAAACATGAAGAAATAATATGCTTTGCAGGTTGTCGATATCCTGCTTTCTGGATTAACTATGTTATATCACAGGCTAGAGTGTCTGGAAACAAATGGCTTATACATTTCATAAATAAAACAAAATTGATGAATCCATTCAATTCCGGAAAATTAACTGATTAAGAGAATTTTGAATACCACTGTTTTCAAACAGTATCCTTCCCCTGACCCAACTCAACTTTAGTGTTTGATGCCTCAAGTAAGTACAGTAACGCCAATTGCTCTGAGAATATCCCCAGCTCTTGAGCAATATATAAATACTTTAAATTTAAAAAGTGAGACCTCTACCCCAATAATCTGTTAAAATACTACTGGATTTTCATTATAAGGCACATATATATCAAACACAGAACCTAGATTATAGAGGCCTCAGAGAAACAGCTGTTTGGCTTTCGTTACTATAGTAATACAGAGCATACAGGCTGGCCTGGCCTGAAGGGGTTTTAATGGGAATTTTAGATTCTTTTATTGTTTGAATTTTAATTTGGACTTGTTGCTGTGAGCCGCCCTGAGTCCTTGTGGAGAAAGGGCGGCATATAAGTCCGATAGATAGATAGATAAATAAATAATACTAACAGGGCATTAATTGTTAATAGGATGGAGCGCAATGAAGTATAAATATAAAACTGCCTACAGATGAAGAGATTCATTCATACATGCACATCTGTAATCTGACCCTTCTGGTATCCAAACATATATTCCAAAGTAAAAATTCCAGGTACAGTTGCTACTTATACTACTAACATAAAAACGCAAGGTCTCTGCTTTAAGGCAGTCCGATATTGGCAAGAAAAAATAAACGGAGCAATTTATAACTGTTAAAATAGCCATAAAAGACAGGAGTCCATAAGCTAATACTAATTGCTTTTTTCTATGTAAGGAATTTTCCTAAGAATGTTGAAGATCAAGCCAAGTCCGGGGCAAAAGCAATCGAAAACAGAACGGAGGATAAACATTTAAACATTTACTTTCCCACCAGCTTCGGATTGTACAGTCTGTAAATATATATATTTACATTACATTACCATTAACTGGAATGTATGTATGTATGTATGTATGTATGTATGTATGTATATGTGTGTGTGTGTGTGTTTGTGTATCTATATCTATATCTATATCTATCTATCTATATATATATATTTATTCATTCCAGTTAATGGTACAGAAAGGGGAGATGCTGGCTTGTGAAACCAGCCTCAGATAGGTCAGCGACAGGGAAGGGATTTGACGGCTGCCTGTCTGTTTTCCAAGGCTCATACCTAAGAGCTCCGTTTAAGGAAACTCCGATTTAACTAAATCTCCCCCCCGCCACCGCCAGCCTCCTGTCCCCTCCATTTCGCAAGGCGCAGAGCCAGAAGCCTCCCCTTCTTCCAGCACCGACCTTCTACCTGGAAAGACAGGGGGAATGGCGGCCTATCTCAACCGGGAGACTTTCCCAACGCAGCCGAAGGATCCCTCCATCAGCCAGGCCGGCTCTCCGAAGGGTCCCCTTTCCCTTCTCCGTGGGGGGGTGGGCCGCTCACCTCGTCACCCCACTTGAGCACGTCCTTGTGCCTCTCCCCGACGGCGCGGTAGATGTGCAGGAACTGCTGGATGCCGTGTTTGCGCACGTGCTCCGCGTGCCGCTGCGTCTTCTCCCAGCTGAGCGGCGAGCCTTGCGACAGGAGCCCCATGGCTCTGCGGGGGAAGAGGAGGCGCGGGGAGCGCGGGGAGAGCGCGAGAGGAGGAGCGCGGAAGAGACAAGCTGCGGCCGCTGCCGTGACAACTCCGAAGAGCAGCGCGGGCCAGGAGCCCCGATCGGAAAAAAAAAAAAAAAAAAAAAACCCTACTTCAGGCGGCGGGAAACACGCAAGGAGAATCCACTCGCAGCTAGGCGTAGGGGGGGGCAGGTGGCTGAGCAAAGGAAGTGGGGGTGGGAAAAAAGGCGCTCCGGCCGCCTTCCCAAACCTCCGCTTTGCCAGCGGCCGGGCACCAAACGAGGGATGAGGAGACCCTCCGCCTTGGCTTCGCGCGCTCGGATACTTTTAAGGGAAACCCGAGAAGGCTGAGGGCGCCGGCAGCCGCCTCTCCGCTATGGTTCTGACCGTCCCGGGAGAGGAATCGCGTGACACGTGACCGAGGAGCAAGGGCGGAGAATAGTCTCTCTCTCTCTCTCTCTCTCTCTCTCTCTCTCTGTCTCGCGCGCGCGCACGGTTTCTGGTTCGCGCGCGCCGAGGGGAAGGAAGAGATACTAGGGACAGACGTCGCGTCATGCGGTGACTCAGCACTTTCTGGCTCCAGCGCCTCCCCCCCTCCCTTTGGGTTCTTTCTAATCGGCGTTGGGAGGTTGAGGTTACCTGTTCTTAGGTTTTTGCCAGGCGCCCTTCTGGGTTTTGTCTAACACCAGTACCCACCACCACCACCACCACACGCACACATACAAGCACACTCCGTCGGCCAGTTTCAAATAAGGCGGGTGGTGGTGGTCATAAATACCATTGTTCTTTCTGAATGTGGACCATCCAGTATAGCATCAGCGGGAAGATTTGCAAATAGAAACAGGACGACTGTGGGGAAAGAAACAAAGGTAGTACCACTAGTCACAGGCGGCTTGAGAGCAATCCCAAAACAACTGGAGCACAACACCGATATTGACAAATTTCACCATCAGTCAATTGCAAAAGGCAGCTTTACTCGGTGATGCTTGTAACTACATCAAACATCCACACCTGCCTATCCCAGGTCCTTGGGAAGGACCCCATAGGTGGACAGAGATGCCAAACCCAGTCTAGACATCTGGGTGACTGCAACAAGCCATAATAAACAATCCGTATCTTGCCCATCCCAGGTCCTTGATAGGCAGACAAAACTGCCAAACCCAGTCTAAATAATTTCTGGATGATGTGCAACAAACAATAATGATGCAATTGTGTGTGTGTATACGTGCACACAAGATGTATACCTATGTTCAAGTTGACTTACAACCTGGTATGTTTACAGTTCTCAGGGCATGCTTAACTGTAGTCACCGTAGGGAGGAAATTAACTTAAGCCAATTTATCCAAATAGGTAACCCAAAGGGGTAATTTTAGTTTCAAGCAGACCCCACTCTATTTAAGGCTATAGATTCACCCCCTCCCCCCAAAAAAGTTGAGACTATATTTTACAGTCAGCTGCAATAAAGGTCCCATATTGTAAAGCCTTTCTAAAAGATTTCATTTATATCCTTTTTGTTTTTACCTCCCCTAAATGTAAAAAGTCTCTTGACAAGACTATTTGGAGAGGATTTCCCTTTTTTTCTCAGAAAAGCAAAATATGGGAAAGAGAGTGCTGCCCTCCCTTTGTATAATTGTAAACAAAATCTGATTCCTAGATCAGATTGTGAATGATGGTAACTAGGTTAGGTAACTTGGAAGTTCCAATTACCTGTATTCTCCAAATACAACCCCTCCCTTCCTCTTTGTTTGTGTGTGAAGGGACTATTTAAATTGTGACAATCTTTTTCAAATAATTTCCTTAAGAGGATTCAAAATAAATAATGCCTCCAAGTCAACAACAAACTGCTGGAAAAAGGATGGGAAATAGATGCTACAAAACAGACAATACACAAAGATCCTTCAACATTACCTGAGAATATTCTTTATTCTGAGAATAAAATTAAAACTATAAAGGCTGCTGTACTAGAATAAATTCATGCCCTTTGCACTTTTGCAAATTGGAAGTGTGCTTCTATGTGTGATTAACCAGATTGCATTAAAATAATGGTTGGCCCCAGAGTGGGGAAGGAATGGGGATTTTGCAGTATCCTTCCCCTGTAATGGGATGGGAATGGAGATTTTGTAGTATCCTCCTGCCATGCCCACCAAGCCACGCCCATCAAGCCCACCAAGCCACGCCCACAGAACCGGTAGTAAAAAAATGTGAATTCCACCACTGCTCAGAAGCAACAGAACAGTCACTGAATCTGCAGAATGCTTAAAGTCACCTTCATCGCATTAAAGTTCATTGCTTAAGGTAGATCTTAATTTCAATTCATGAATCTTTTGGTTTGAGGAAATTGTGGTCAAATCAACATACTTAAGTGAAGCCATTAACATGTTTTCTTCTTCACATTTGCTGGTATATTTAAGCCAGTTTGGTCTAGTGGTTAAGGTATAAAGCTAGAAAGCAGGAAACTCTGAGTTTAAGTCCCAATTTAGCCATGAAAGCAGCTGGGGGGCTTTGGGCCAGTCACTCTTTCAGGTCTCAACCCAATCCACCTCATGGATGTTGTTATGCGGAAAATAAGAGGAGGAAGGTGCCAAATACATCGTTCCATCTGCAAAAGTGGAATTTATACTGTACCACCATAACACTGTTTCTTATAACGTGCAAGGTGGCAAATCAAACTAGAAGGTCATAATACGATTTACCTCGAGACAATATGACAGGGTGGTTTTAGAAGAACTGGTTCTTTTAATCTTTTAAGCTATTGACCAACATTGGGATCTATAATGAGCAGTTTATAAATATGAATGTGTGTAGTTTGATGAAGTTACTTAAAGAGATTGATTGATTATATGATTAGTCTGCTTTTTTAATGAATTTTATGGAGGGGAATTGGATATACTTAATAAAGGGTTCCCAGATCACCAATCAAAGACAAAAGAAAAATTGAAGATACAATAATCTGAATTCTTCATAAAACTCCAGTAATAGGGGAAATTGATGGTATGATGACTGGCCTATCTGGAAGTACCATGTTTCCCTGAAAATAAGACACTGTCTTATATTTTTTTGAACCCTGAAATAACCGCTTGGCCTTATTGCCATGCGCTCAAAAGCCCGATTGGGCTTATTATCAGGGGATGTCTTATTTTGGGGGACACGGGGTATCATTTCCCATTAGCAATTATTATGTGTTTTTTAACTCAAAATACCCCCCCTCCCCAAAAATGGTATAGTTTTAATAGCTGCACAGAGTATTCTGATACTGTGTATTTTACCCAGGAATTACTAGGATGAAACCTGCATCAAAAGTGTATGCTGTACAACTAAACCCATTGGCTGAATTCACATATTTTGTCAAGTTGTAGTTTATTTAATCTATTAAACCACATATCTAGTTTCATGCAACATTCTAAACCAAAGACAAACAGAACCCTTAATGGTGTAGTATCAAGTATAAACCTAATCTTTGTGTCTATGAAAACCCAGCTATTTTGGTTATAATTTTTGTAATATCCTATCAGTGAGAAATTGAATTCAGAAGTAACTAACATCATTTTTCTGGCCATCATATTCTGTGTCTATTAGAAAGAGATTATATTCTTTCTTTTTTTTTTTCTGTACTCACAGCTAAGATGGGGGTTCTCTGTTTCAGGAAATGATTAATTTTGAAGAGTCAGGTTCTCTGGGCATGGCGTTTGGCCAATTTAATCTTTCAGTGGTCTAGAATAGTGCAAGAGCTTGTGAGCCACAAGTAATCTAAGAACAAAAGGAAATGGGCCCAACACATGTTTTCACTGTCATCTGATATACGGGGGACATATTGAAGGTTGGGATTTGCACTGTTTGCGCCTTTGTTTGTCTGCTAAATTCATTATATAACAGGCTTTTGTTAGCTGCCAGCACTGCTTTCCCTTCCCGGTGAGGATCTTTCTGTGATTTGGATTTTAGAATAGTAGTCGCTGGGAACTGTTAATGCTGATAAGCTCCCTTGTATTTAGGTTAACAATTCTCTGACATGTCTGGTATTCACATGACTAGAATAATACTACAGCTCTAAATGAGGTTACAGTTTGTGAGGAGTGCTATCATAAAACAGCTTGTGCATTGCTTTCTCTGGCTACCACACAAACTGTAGAGTTCATATATAAATTCTACTTTTATTTATTTATTATTACTTATATGCCACACCATTCTGAGCAACCACTAGTAACAAAAATAGATTGATGGGTGGCCACCAGCTCTCTGAAGCTGTCAAACAGGAAAAGCCACTGGTAGACTGTATCCTTCCTATACTGAACTGATGGTGAGCACCTTTTCTTGTCTTCCCTTTTATGCATATTTTTCATCAGGTCCGCCTGATTCGCCAGTTGCGTCCCTTTCTGGATCGGGACTCGTTACGCACGGTCACTCATGCCCTCGTCACCTCCCGTCTGGACTATTGTAACGCTCTCTACATGGGGCTCCCCTTGAGGAGCACTCGGAGGCTCCAACTGGCGTAGAGTGCGGCCGCGCGGGTGGTGATGGGAGCAACGTGGCGCTCCCATGTAACGCCTCTTCTGCGCGAGCTGCACTGGCTCCCGGTGGGCTTCCGAGTGCGCTTCAAGGTCTTGGTTATCACCTTCAAAGCGCTCCATGGCTTAGGACCTGGCTATTTACGGGACCGCCTGCTGCCACCAATAGCCTCCCACCGACCAGTACGCTCCCATAGAGAGGGGCTCCTCCGGGTGCCATTGGCCAAACAATGTCGACTGGCGGCCCCCAGGGGGAGAGCCTTCTCTGTGGGGGCACCTACGATCTGGAACGAGCTCCCCCCGGAGATACGGAGGATTCCGGATCTGCGTACCTTCCGTCGCGCGCTTAAGACGTTTTTATTCCATCAAGCTGGCCTGACCTAAACTTTTCCTCTTTTAAATGGAATTTTAAATTTGGTTTTAATTTATTGGGGTTTTAAAATGTTTCAGCCAAATTTATTTAATTAGTTTTATCTCTATTTTAAATTTTGTATTTACATGTTTTATTTTATGGCTGTTCACCGCCCTGAGTCCTTCGGGAGTAGGGCGGTATACAAATTTAATAAATATATAATAATATATATAAATATATATTGATCCCCTCAAAGATGAAGATTGGCAATAACAGATCCAATTTATAAGGAAGGCAACAAAGAGGACCTGGCAGATAAGTTATTAGGCATTTTAGTATAAGTAAATTATATGCAAATTATAAAATTATATATATATAATATTTATACACACACACACACACACACACACACATATATATAATATTTATATATGCTAAATTATATTTAGTATAAGTAACTTATATGAGTAAATTATTGGTAGTTCGGGTGGTTCGAATCCCTAGTGCTGCATAACGGAGTGAGCTCCTGTTACTTGCCCCAGCTTCTGCCTACTTAGCATTCAAAAGCATGTAAAAATGCAAGTACAAAAATAGGGACCACC